AGTTGTATGAAAATAGCTAGTTTTGTTTATTTATATCAGTAGAGGTTACTGATTTTGTAATTTGTTTCATTCCTTATCAAGAGGATTGTTTCTGTTTCATTCATATGAATACCATGCCTATTAGTTTTTTTCCTTTCTCTTTAGAGTTAACGTGTAAATCAAATATGCTTTATTTATGAACTCTAGGAAAATGACATTAAAATTTTTTTTTTATTTTTTAAGATAATAATTGCCCTATTTCTTAGACACTGTTAGCAGATTGCTGATCTCTATTCATTATTGAGTTTAATTTTAAGGCAATTAAATTATTCATAAGATAATGAAATATGCAGATACTATGTTTACATGATCCCTAAAATGATTTTAAATGTAAAATGTCGCATGATTCTTCATATTATTTGGTTGTCAGTGTGTCAAAATTTGATATGGGACAAGAGTCTTTTATCTTATTGAACAACTGGCTCTTAATTCTAGCACTATCATTATTCAGGGCTTTGTTTTGTTTGTTGTTTCACTTTATTCAATGAATATTGTGCATCTACATGAGCTAGGTAGTCTGCCAATAAAGAGTTTATGTACAAGTTCAAGAGTACAAAAGGGGTCCACCTAATCTGGCTTTTAAGGGCAGGTTCCCAGGAAGTCTCCTGGAAGAGGAGATGCCCAATGTGAGAAGCTGATTGAGGGGTAGGCGACAGGGGAGTGGTAGGGAGAGATGATGTTTCAGACAGAAAAAAAATCATACGAACAAAGTCATTACAGGAAAAAAATAATACCTGTGTGCATTTACTACAAGCGGCTTAGTGCTACAGAAGCAGCATAGTATAAACTCAGGTCAGACTAGCTAGGTTTGAGTCCTGGTTCTGTTATTTGCTAACTTGTAACCTTCAGCATGTTAATTAACCTCTGTGCCTCTGTTTCTTCATCTATAAAGCAAGGAAAATAATAATGCATACTTCATAGGATTGGTTTGAAGAGCAAACTTTACCATACGTGAAACATTTAGAATTGTGCTTAGCACGTAGTAAGAATGATATGTTGTTGCTAGATGCCCCCAAGTTGTTTTCAACTCATAGCAACCCTGTATACAAGAGAACAAAACACTGCCCAGTCCCGTGCCATCCTCACAATTGTTGCTGTGCTTGAGCCCATTGTTGCAGCCACTATGTCATTCCATCTCACTGAGATGTTAGCTGTTATTATGATGATGACAGAGACTGTAAAGTAATCAGACTAGAATAGTCAGTCTTGGCAGTTTTGCCTGCCAGTTTAAGGAGCTTGGGCTTCATTGTAAGTAATAAAAAGTCAAAACCCACTGGGATGGCTAAGATTTGTTATAAAAAAAAAAAAAAAAAAAAAAAAAAAAAAAAAAAAAAAAAAAAAAAAAAAATTAAGAAACTAAAAAAAAAAACAGGAAATAACAAATGTTGATGAGAACATTGGGAAACTGGAAACTTTATCCACTGCTGGTGGGAATGGTACATCTGCTGTGGAAAATTGTGTGGTGATTCCTCAAAAAGCTAAAATTAGAACTAACATATTACACAGTAATTCCACTCTTAGGTATATACTCAAAAGACTTGAAAGTAGACTCAAAAAGAGACTTGTACACCAGTGTTCATTACAGCTGTTTTCACAGTAGCCAAAAGTTGATCAACAGATGAATGCATAAGCAAAATGTGGTATAGACATACAATGGAATACTGAGCCTGTAGGAGAAATGAAGTCTTGATACATGCTGCAGTAGGGATAGAACTTGAAGACATTATGCTGAGCAAAATAAGTCAATCACAAAAAGACAAATATTGTGTGACTGAAGTCATATAAAAAGATAAAACAAGGCAAATGTATAGAGACCAAAGTTACCAGGAACAGGAGAGGGAAAAGGGGGATCAATGGTGATGGGAAAATTGCATTGGTTAAGAGTAGGTTTGCACAGCCAATTATTGTAATTGCTGTCAATAAGTTGTATACGTGTAAAAAGTTGAATTGGCAAAAGTTGTGTGATAGATATACTTATATAAAAAAAAAAAAAAGTAGCTGGCAAGGCTACTTATGTACAACCAAATGCCTCACAGGATTTGATTCCTTGGTTTGGAGGTTTAGGGCCACAGCTCCATGGCACATACCAGTTAATTGGCCTAATAACATGTTTAGTGCTTCTGTTCATTGCATAGAGTGCTGGGGTCTTAAAAACTTGCAAGTGGTCATCCAACAGTTCAGGTGTTCACCTGAAACAACAGAAGAAGAAGGAGAGTCAGGAATAGGAGGGGATAGGGGATGTGTGGTTAGTTGTCTCCATGAACAACTGCCTTCTTTGCCATGAGATTAAAAGAACTGGATGGTGTCCGACTATCATTACTGAACATTTTGATCGAAGATTCCATAGAAGAATCCTGATCAAAAGGGAAGAAATGCAAAATAGAATTTCAAATTCTCATAGTTTCTAGACTTTTCGGAGTCATGGAGGGTGGATGAACCCCTAAAACTATTGCCCTCAGATAATCCTTAAATCAAAAATATCCCTGAAATCTTAAAACCAAGCAATAGTTTAGCTTAACTAGTAAAAAAGGTCAGCCTTGGGCATTATGCTCTTTTAAGGACTATCTATATGGGATCAAATTGACAACAGCAATTAGGAAGATTAGGCAGGAACCTTAGGGGGCAGTGAGTTTATGTTAATGAGGGAGGCACGACTCAGAAAAGGAGGGTGAATGGTTGCACAACTTGAAGACGATAATTAATGTCACTAAATTGTACAAGTAGAAACTTGAATTCATACATGTTTTGCTATGTGTATTCTCAAGAACAACAAATTAATAAAAATTTAAAGAAATAAGAAAAGGTTTTAAGCAGGTAAATTACACAAGTGAGTTGTGTTTTTGCTCTGGTTTTGGTGAAAACAAGAGTTCCGAGCAATGAAACGGACACAGACCAATTAATAGATTGCTGCATTAATGGAGGTCTGAATTAACATAATTATAGTAGAGATGGACAGGAGGAGTGATTACATAAATTTTTAAGAGGTTAAACCTGCAGAACTTTATTGATTGGCTATGAAGGATTATAAAGAGAGAAGAGGGGCTTGAGTTATATAGACATAATTCAAAATTTTAAGTAAGTCTAGTGAGAAAATAATAAAACCATCTGAGTTGCCATATGAGTACCTCTAAGGAAATAATGTGCTTCACAAGTTTGTTACAACTGCAGATAACATTAACAAGATTCCTATGGCCTAGCCAAAAAAGATTTTGTTTATTAACATATTCAACTCCATCTTAATTAGCAATGCTTTCACAGCTTTTCATTAATTATTGATATCTTAGTAATAGATCAGAAATTCTGTATCCATTCATAATTTCAAATGTGTCTAACACCTTTCCTGATAATCTGTTGATGTAAAGTACTTGACTTGTTTCATTGATTTTATTGCTTTTTGTCCCTTCAGATTGCAGGGCTCCTCTCACTACTGGTTTATAATCTTACATCACTGTTTGCTTACCTATTGCACTTCAAAAGTATTTTCAGATAATGATCTCCCATTTGGTATGTGTCAGATAATTTTACACTGTGCTTTCATGAACAGATGTGTGTGCAGTTGCCTTTTTAAAAAATGCATATTTTGAGTTCTGTAACATAGTGAGTCACTTGGAAAATCATGTCTTTTTTTTTTTATATTTGTTACCCAAAATGAATTTTCTTATTTGAAGAAGAAAATCTTCTGGATCTCTGTGTGGATTTAAGTGGGCATGGTCAGGCCCGGCTGGAGGTATGGTCTGGCCTAGCTAGGCGTCCGGTTGGCTCCAGCACTGTGCCCATTCTGATTGGTCCGTGTGTGTATAATTTAGTTTGTTAAATATTTTTAATATCACTCTTGCTTGTACTCATGGTTTAGTATCTTCTCCACTGAAGAATTTTGGCTTTAGCAAGCAGAGGTTTATCTTAAACCACTGTGTTGTTGAATTAGGTGATAATTAAAAACAAAACAAAAATCAGATGTTTTCGTCCGAAGAAAGCTATTATTACAAATAACATTGACCCCTGTTTGACAGTGGAGTAAAGTTAGTAAAACCTGCTTTTTTTTTAGAGAAATAAAATGTCAGCTAGTAAATTTTTCAGTCAAAGAACCAAATGGGTCTGCATTGAAGAAGCATTTCACTCATGTTATTCCACCAAAGTACTAGATTAGATAAGCATTCAGATGTTTTGGTAAAATTCTCAAGCTCATCTTCCCTCTCACTTTAATTTTTTAAACTTTATAATCTATTTATTGTGTCTAGAAATCCAGCTGTGAAATAACTCACTGCACACAGTATTAATCCCTGATAGCTATAAGCATCATTTAAGAAAATCTTGGAAAACTGACTCATTAAAGACATAATAAGGATATTGGTTTTAGCGTCTGATGTTTTGTAGTTCCTCTAAAAACCAACCCTTTGTTACACCCTACTAGAACTAGTTAAAAAAAAAAATCATAAATAAAGTATTTCCCCATTATGGGGATTGCAATCAATGTCGTGAAAAAAAAATGTGTATAAACTGTTGTATGGAAAATGAATTTGCTCTGTAAACTTTCAACCAAAGCACAATAAAAAATAAAATAATAATAATAATAATAATAAAAGGATAGCATTTTCCAGGGCTAAAGCTCAGAAGGCAAGAAGAGATCGCAAAGAAGGATGAATGGAAAGGATAAACATAGGCAGGAAGTGGGAAGAGTGACATTGTGGAGATTGCAGTCAATGTCACAAAACAAAGTGTATATGAACTACTGAGTGAAACACCAATCTCATCTATAAACTTTCACTCAAATCACAATACAAAGTTAAAAAGAAAAAAAAAATTCTTCCTTCCCAAATAGATAGATCCCTTCTTTCCTGCTTATATACATCTATATAATCTTTCTCAAAATAAGGAGCTTATAATTTTCTGTTCAGAAAATTTATAATGTTACTCTTTGTACTAGGCACTATGGTATTTTTAATATTTCTTTTTTCCTGCAGGTATTCTTGGCGTCACCAATTGAGGGAATTTAAAAGTGAATATCGAGTTGTAGCACTGGATTTGAGAGGTTATGGAGAAACAGATGCTCCCATTCATCAAGAGAGTTATAAATTGGACTGTCTCATTACAGATATAAAGGATATTTTAGATTCTTTAGGTAGGTTAGTTTTTTTAAAAAAAACAGTATTCTTTTTAAGGGGTTAACATTCAACAAATTATGTATGCATAACTTCATTTCTTGGGAGAAGGTATGTTCCATCTTCCTTAGCTGGTATCTGGGGCCTGTCACCATGGTTTCTGGTATATAGCCAGAAATATTTATACAGGGAATTCAGAATAATGCATCCAGTATTGTTATTCAGTCCACCAGCCAAGAATGACTTCCAAACTTTTTTAAAAAGAAAAATAGACCTCATGACTGCTTATTCTTTTCAGAACTAATTCTTGAAAATCTGATTTTTGCATGCAGAAAAAAAAATTTCTTCAGAACCTATACCTAAATATTCATTTAGAAATGTTATAAGATACAGAATTACTTGCAATATCTCTTTTGTGTTTATCAATTAATGCCACAATAACATTGTGTAACTAACAACCACAAACTCAGTATAATATGACAATAAGCATTTTTTCCTCCTCATGGATCTGCAGGTTAACTGGGGATTGGCTAATATAGGCTGAACTCCACTAAGTGGCTTTGCTTCAGATCTAGCTGGGATTGGCTTCTTCTTGTGCATTGGGCTGGAATCCAAGCTAAGAAGGAGTAGCTGTATGAGGAATGATCCTCTCATGGCAACGGCAGAAGAGGCAAAAGGGTGAACCCAGCTGCACGAGCATATTTCAAGTTTCTGCTATTTGCTAAATAAAGCAAGTTATATGGCCAAGCCCAAAGTCAAGTCATGTATCCAACATGAGACCAAAGCCAATCACATGGCAAAGCCTAACGTTAAAAGGACAGCAAAGTCGACTCCTTCTTATGGCGATGGGGAAGAGAGAAGCAGTAAATACTTTTTCAATCTAATCTACATTCCCTTTGACTGAAACTCAGTTGCTACTGTAGATATGTTAATAGAACTAATACAGTGAGAAACATCACAAATTAAAGGCCCTTTCTACAATAATAAGAGCATAAATAAAGCCATCATTTTAAAAGGAGAAAAATTGATGGAGTCGGAATGTAGTGTTGTCATTTAGTCTGATTACAGTAAAATAGCCTCAGAGACTCTGATTTACAATAGCCATATTTTCATTCAGACTTTGTGATAATACAGCAGATCTGCCCTATATTTGTCATCATGTAATTTTCTAGATAAATCAATACATAAATAAGACATTTTTCTATATGTGTGTGCATGTGAGGAGGTAGTACAGTGGTGGGGTGTTTGGGCTACTAATACTTATTTTATAGTAATTTTAAGTGTTCTAGAAGTAAATTACAAATGAATCTTATCCATCTATTCAAAGGAAATGCTGTAGCAATATCCGTTAAGCAATATTTTAACCTAATTCAAATTACCACATGATTATATGAACTGAAACTTATATATAATTAATGTTACAATCAAGACTTTCCATAATTCCATTTGACTTCACAGTTCCAAATTAGTGAGGTTTTACTGTGTTGAGTTGTAACATTGGATTGACGAAGTGAAGGAGTAAATAAATCCTTACAATAAAGATTTACAAATTAAACATAAATGGGATATTTATGTTTTTACTGTAACTAGAAATTTCTCAGTATTCCAAAAAGATTCCTGAAAGAGATTCTGAATCTGTATGTCTAGAGTGGATCTAGAGCATCTAAATTTTCTAAATAGATTCAGAAGTGTAATTATTTTATGTGAGGTAATGATGCACCCACCTGTTTCCCTTCACTAATGTCAACATTTATTTCTCAATTACAGGGTATAACAAATGTGTTCTTATTGGCCATGACTGGGGGGGCATGATTGCTTGGCTAATTGCCATCTGTTATCCTGAAATGGTGATGAAACTTATTGTTATTAATTTTCCTCATCCAAATGTATTTACAGGTGAGTTTTAAGTTTTCATTAAAATATCTGCGCTAAAGCAGCAATTCAAATCTGACAGGGATTAGAAAGGCAAAATTTGGTTAACATAATCTTTTAAAAATTAAATGACTAACGTGGCTATGTCAGATATCTAGGCTTGAAATCTTCCTGAAGAGTCTATGAAAATTTAGCTTCATGTTGGCTTGCATAATTGTATTCCTTTCTAGAAAATATTTTGATATTAAGTTGGAGAGAGATAAAAGGGGAGAAAAGGCAGGGACATTACTTTGACAGTAATGAATCTTGATAGTAATGAATCTTGATGACCTAGAAATAAATTATCCTGCCTGACTGCTTTGGTTATCAGGACTGGCAGTATTCTTTAAAGCAGCCATTCTCAAACATTTTGGTCTCAGGACTCATTTATACTCAAAAAATATCAAAGTTTATATGCCTATGGGGGTTATATCTATCAATATTCATTACATGGGGAATTAAAACAGACATTTAAAGTATTTACGTATAAATTCATTTAAAAATAACAACAATAAATCTACTACATGTTAATATGTTGTTGTTGTTGTTATGTGCCATGGAGTCGGACTCGCCTCATAGTGACCCCTCCTTAGGTTTCCGAGGCAGTATCACTACGAAAGTAGATTGTCCCATCTTCCTTCCGAAGAGTTACTGGTGGGTTTGAACTGCCAGCCCTCTGGTTAGCAGTCCAGTGCCTTAGGCACTATGCTACCAGAGCTCCCACGTGTTAATATAGATAACATATTTTTAATAAAAATAACTGTCTTCCAAAACAAAATTTTAGTGAAGAAAGTGTTATTGTTTTACATTTTGCAAATCTCTTAAATTTTTGACTTCATAGAAGATGGGATTCTCATGTTTGTTTCTGCATTCAATCTGTTACAATATGTTGTTTGGATTGAAGTACAGGTAGTCCTTGAATTATGATGTATTCAAGTTGCAATGAACTGCACTTACCACCATCCATTTCTTAAAATTATTTGGGATTTTTTAATGTATGGAAATATTAAAATATATCTGTAAGTTTGTATGTAATGTTTCCAACTCCCAAAGACAAATACACATCAGATTTATAAAGATATTGATAATAAAAGACACTAATAATGAAAGCTAAAAAAAAAAATGAGATATGTGACTTACATCAGAACTGACTTATGACAGAATCATCTGGCAAATGGAACCCCGTTGCTAAATCAGGGACTGCCTGCATCTAAAGAAATCTGGTCTCACAGAGATACACAGTTGGAAAAGAGGAGTATTTTAATAGCCTTTTCAGATAAATATGGATTTCTTCTGTACTATTACACCAAACTCAAATATTGGTGGTTTCTTAAAGAATCTTAAATAGATTCTTAAAAAGAACTTAAAGTTCTTAAATATTTCTTAAAGATGTGGGATCTGAATTCATATAAATGTACTTTATATACTCTGTTACATTAAAATCTGTTGGTCTCTCTAGCACTTTGAATTTATTTTTTACTATGCATGATTTTGTATTATCATGTATTAGAAGATATTGGTTAATCAAGTTATGCAAATCTTCCAAATATTGACATATTACATCTTAAAATATTAAAAAATCACATACATTAGGATAGGATCATCTCAATCTCATAAGAAAAGCATCAAGCTCACAGTAGCAAATGCAAGTTTTCCAAAATTCTAATTTTCACTTAAAAGCTTGAACTTTATCACTGGCAACAAATACTGTCGGTTGTTTTCCTTGAAGTGATAGACTCACTTTGTTCATTTTCAAGATAATATCAACCAAATACCCATTTCCGAATGATGATAGTTTGGTCAATTAAAAATGATGTTCCGTAAAAAAAGCAGCTAGTAATTCACCAATTCGAACAGTTTCAGAAGTGCTTTTCCTGAAGACAATTATTGTATTTGGATGGGTACTTTCTACTTTATCACAAATAATTTTAAAAGTACACTCAAAGGTAGAGATTTTATAAAATTAATCATTTTTGCTACTTCATCGTGGACCTTCATAAGTGAAGCTGGCACTTTAATCACTCACTCACTCACTCACTCTGGTTATTTATTTACTCTGAGAGTGTGGTGGTGAAGAATACCATGACAACTAGTATTGTTTGTCATGGCCTTGATTTGTCTGAAGGGACCAGTGGTTTTGTCCACTGTTGCTTTTGTACCTTTAGTGCAAAATGTCAACACAGTGAAACAGGCAAATAATGTCTGTATTGTTATGAAGTAATTTTGACTTCCAGGATCCTTTGAAATGATTTGGGGATTCCAGAGGGGTCTGCATGAATTACACTTTGAGAACTTCTGCTTTAAAGGAAATTTATGTATTTTGGGACTCTTTCATTGGGTCCATAGATATTTATTATGGTTATGTCCTCTTGTTCAATTGATCCTTTAATCATTATATAATGTACTTCCTTGTCTCTTATGGTGGTTTTTGTCTTAAAGTCAATTTTATCAGAAATTAACATTGCTACTCCTGCTCTTTTATAATTGCCATTTGCTTGATATGTCTTTTTCCAACCTTTAATTTTTAGTCTGTATTTGTTTGTCTCTAAGGTGTGTCTCTTGTAGACAACATATTGATGGGTTATGTTTTCTTATCCAGTGTGCAACACTCCATCTCTGGAGTGGTGCATCTAATGCATTGATATTCATTGTAATTATCGACAAGTATGAATTTGTTGCTGTCATTTTGCTATGTGCTTTTTTGTAGTGTTCCTGATTTCTTTGTTCCATATAATTTTCTGTGCTGAGGGTGTTTTCTTTGTGAATTGTGTTATCACTTCCTTCATTGTTATTGTTTTATTATTTGCTAAATATTTGTGCTTGTCCTCTTTTTTATTTTGATGTGAAGGTTTATCATTTTTCTTTGAAGTTACCCTGTGATTTATAATTTTCTTCCCAAGTTTAGAATAGTCTATTCTATCTTGCAATGGTCTTGACTTCCCTACCATTTAGAAGTTCTGTAACTACACAATTGTTTCCCTCTTTTTGGTTTGTAGTTGTCTTCATTTGTCAATTGATGTCTCTGGTTCCCTGTTTACAATCTTGTAGGCTTATTTAGTTTGGATACTTCCATAACTGGGTTTGTTTCTGGGTTATGTCATGTGTGTTAATGGTCAGTTTGCTGTTGTTGGTTCTCTGTCCAAAGGACTCCCTCTAGCATCTCTTGTAAGGTTGGTCTGGTTTTAACAAATTCCCTTAATTTGTGCTCATCTGGAAATGTCCTAATTTCACCATCATATTCAAGGGACAGTTTTGCGGGGTATATAATTCTTGGTTGGAAATTTTTTTCTTTCAGGGTTTTAAATATACCATCCCATTGTCTTCTCACTTGCATGGTTTCTGCTGGGAAACCAGAGCTTAGTCTTATTGGTTGCCCCTTGTAGGTAACTTTTTGTTTTTCTCATGCTGCTTTCAAGATTCTTTGTCTTTGGTTTTGATGAGTTTGATGATGATATGTCTCGGTGATTTTCTTTTTGAGTTTATTCTGTTTGGGGTTTGTTGGATTTCTTGAATGGATATATTCTCATTTTTCATCATACCAGGAAAATTCTCTTCCAATAGAATCTTCTACATTTTTTTCTGTGATTTTATTTGTGTCTTCCTGTTTTGGATTTCCGATTACGTGTAGGTTATTCCTTTTGATGGTATCCTACATGAACCTTAGGCTTTCTCCATTTTGTTTTGATCTTTTTTCTGACTGATACCTTTCCAAAGAAGTATTAATGTATCACTAATTCAGTCTTCCATTGATTCAATTCTACTCCTTTGCCCATTCAATGTCTTATCTATTTCTGAAAATTTAGTATTAATCTTCTGGATTTCTATCTGGAGATTTTGTATACTTTCTAAGTTTTCATTTCTTTTGTCATTTTGTTCTTGTATTGTCTTTCAAAATTGTTCTAGGGTTTTCTCTGTGTTTTCCTCAATTTTGTCAGTGTTTTCCTTGATCTGTCTCTCAGTCCATTGAAGGCACCTAAATATAATTCTTTTGAACTCCTTATCAGGAAGTTCTAATGCTGCTTCTTCCTCAGGAATGTGTTCTGGGTCTGTATCCTAGTCCCTTGTTTCCCCTGCTTTATCTTGCTTCTTTGTGTGGACTGTGATGCTCTGTTTTCTCTGAGACATTGTGATGTTTCTGTGGTTATACTTAATTGGTGATTGTATGTTGGAGTGAGTTGCCAAAAATTTTCATTTTCTTTTGTTTGTTTGGATGTTGTGGTGGTTTATTTTGTGTGTCGACTTGGCTGGGCCTGGTTGAGTGCTGTGCAACTGAATGTAGTTATTCCCCATGGTGCGACTGGTAATTAACTCCATGGTGGAATCTATCAGACCAGCTGAGTCACTGCTTTGGGTATATGGTCTGCTTTCCATATATAAGAAACAGCCTTGGGAATGGTTTCTAGCTATGGCACACTTGAACCCTGCATGTAGCTGTGTCATTGTTCAGCAGCCTGCCATGTTCTGCCAACCTTGGGACTTTCAATGGACTTGAATTAGTGGCCTGCCATGTGGTTTGGTAACACTGGGACTGTGCCTTTTTACTTATCAACCTTGGGCTTGTCAGCCTCAGCAGCCAGCAGCTAAGTGAAGAAAAACCTCTAGCTCCAGTGTGCTGAGAGCAGGAGGAGGAGCTGAACCCCAAGGTTGAGGGACTTTCACCTAGCCCCTAGAGCCTGGCACTTTGGACTTGGACTTAAAGTCTCCAAACTGTAAGAGAATAAACTCCTGTTTGTTCAAGCCATCCCATTGGTGGTATATTCTTGTCACAGCGGCACTAGGTACCAGAATAGATGTTATCTAAGTAAGCAAGGTATTGTGCTTCTCTATTCACTAGTTGGCAGCACTCTTAAGAACCAACTCTTGTTCTTAATTGCAAGCTGGATTCAGAAGAGGACATGAAACGAAGGATATCATTGCTGATATCAGATGGTTCTTGGTTGAAGCAAATAATACCACTCACTACCTGTCTCCTTTCTCGTTGTCAG